AATGAGGGAGGTGATAGATTTCAAGTGTCTTAGGGGGTTTAACTTTGCTCCTCAGAATAGTTGCATCTTTTCCACAAAATGGAAACATTTGGATGCTGAACAGCAAACCAGACAAGCTGCACTTTAAGCCTTGTTTACAAAGACTCTGGTCCCCCTTTTCCAGCCTTGCACCGCATATTTTAATAAGGTATTGCTGGAAAGAAAGAACCTTTGATTCTAAATTACTGAAAAACCACAAACACATTAATAAAATTGCTGTATTTATCCTTACGATTGCGATCTAGTCATGCAGAAACAGGGAGTTTGTAGATACATCCTGTCCAAAAATAAGGACTTCTAAGAAAGTCAGGTTTTGAGATGGTGAGCAAGGCGTCCAAGGAACTTAATATTTAAAGAGTGTCTCTTTTAACTGTGAAGGGATTCTATTGAACTTAGAACTTAGAACACAAAGTAATATATATAAGACCCAGAAAGGACAGTGCTTTTAACTTAAACTAAACATTAAAAAAGGGAACAACAGCTTGAACCCACAGCATCTCATCTTTTCATCTTAGTGTTTACATTCTGACAACATAGATTAAAGGATGGGGAAAAAAAACAAAAAAAACATTTGTATTATCAGGAAACTGAACACAGAAATAATAGTGAGCTGACACAGACAATTTATTTAAAGGGCACAAAAAATATTCTGTTCCAAAACTTCTCATCAAGCTAAAGGTCATATTTGCATTTAAAGTGATATTTTCATACTTACTCATCAAAATAGCCCTCCCTCTGCTCTTTTACATTCAGTGGCTCTCTAGAACCCACTACAAAATAGTTCTGTGCTTTTGTTTTATAAACTTGAATCATAGAACAAAGGAATGAAGTAGGCTCATTTTATAAAAGTAAAAATAAACTACCAACATGGCAAAGAGGGCAGCCGTTTAATACTGCCACTTGTATCTCTGTGTATTTATGCATTTGTAAATGTCCGGCTGTAAATATCAAGGGTATGATGGCATGTTTTTAATAGCGATATATATATTTCTTTCAGATTGTGAAACCTTTTACGGCAGAAAATCCCTGTAAAAGGGTTTAGTTTAAAGGGCCAATAAGCAAATTTTCACCACTTGGTCTGTGTTCGCTCCTATGCTATGCTGGTAAGCCTTGATTGGCAGCTGTTCACATCCACATATACCACTGCCTGGCCAGCCCAACTATGTAAACAAGAGACTGGAAAACAGCACAAAGAGATGATGTGTGATGTCTTACCATAGCTCGTCTGAAAATATACCTTCAAAAACTGCTAGTTAATGTCTTTTTATCTAATATTGTATTATCTAATAATACTTTAATAGCCCTAACACAGGGCCTTTATAAAAACTGTAGTATGATAAACTGTGTAATTAACTACTACCCAAGAAGTTTTTTCAGATATAAATCTACAGGAAAATACTCATCATACAACAAAAAAAAGCATAAAATGATTTAACCATTAATCCTTTCTTCAATTTTCACTGAATTTATTTTTCTTCTACTATTCTGCAAATGTGCCAGATATTCTTAAAGCTAAACTTTATTTGCCACTGCGGTTTAGAGTGATCAGTTTTTGATCAAACAAGATGAGTATTGTAAAAAATCTCCTAAACAGTGTTATTTTATGTGCTGCTTTATGACATAGGTAAGTCATGCAGGTTTCAACCCGATTAATGACTGCTATTGAAAAAGGCCTCCAAGTTTATATCTTATGATGAATAAACCTCATTCTAAGCACTGTCATCTTTAGATGCAGATACTGTGAGCCTGTCTCACGCAAGTGTTTCCACATTTCACATTTATATTCGTATAACTTATTTATACTGTATATCATGATAGTTAATAATGCAGATCTTCAATTGATGAACTGCTGAAATGTTTTCTATTGTCTTGCCTTGTTTGTTCTGCAGAGGCGTGTAATATCTGTGTCATATACACTCACCGGCCACTTTATTAGTTACACCTGTCCAACCGCTCGTTCACACTTAATTTCTAAGCAGCCAATCACATGGCGGCAACTCAGTGCATTTAGGCATAGAGACATGGTCAGGACAATCTCCTGCAGTTCAAACCGAGCATCAGTATGGGGAAGAAAGGTGATTTGAGTGACTTTGAACGTGGCATGATTGTTGGTGCCAGAAGGGCTGGTCTGAGTATTTCAGAAACTGCTGATCTACTGGGATTTTCACGCACAACCATCTCTAGGGTTTACAAAGAATGGTCCGAAAAAGAAAAAAACATCCAGTGAGCGGCAGTTCTGTGGGCGGAAATGCCTTGTTAATGCCAGAGGTCAGAGGAGAATGGTCAGACTGGTTCGAGCTGATATAAGGGCAACAGTGACTCAAATAACCACCCGTTACAACCAAGGTGGGCAGAAGAGCATCTCTGAACGCACAGTACGTCGAACTTTGAGGCAGATGGGCTACAGCAGCAGAAGACCACACCGGGTGCCACTCCTTTCAGCTAAGAACAGGAAACTGAGGCTACAATTTGCACAAGCTCATCGAAATTGGACAATAGAAGATTGGAAAAACGTTGCCTGGTCTGATGAGTCTCGATTTATACTGCGACATTCGGATGGTAGGGTCAGAATTTGGCGTCTACAACATGAAAGCATGGATCCATCCTGCCTTGTATCAACGGTTCAGGCTGGTGGTGGTGGTGTCATGGTGTAGGGAATATTTTCTTGGCACTCTTTGGGCCCCTTGGTATCCATTGAGCATCGTTGCAACGCCACAGCCTACCTGAGTATTGTTGCTGACCATGTCTATCCCTTTATGACCACAATGTACCCAACTTCTGATGGCTACTTTCAGCAGGATAATGCGCCATGTCATAAAGCTGGAATCATCTCAGACTGGTTTCTTGAACATGACAATGAGTTCACTGTATTCAAATGGCCTCCACAGTCACCAGATCTCAATCCAATAGAGCATCTTTGGGATGTGGTGGAACGAGAGATTTGCATCATGGATGTGCAGCCGACAAATCTGCGGCAACTGTGTGATGCCATCATGTCAATATGGACCAAACTCCCTGAGGAATGCTTCCAGCACCTTGTTGAATCTATGCCACGAAGAATTGAGGCAGTTCTGAAGGCAAAAGGGTGTCCAACCCGTTACTAGCATGGGGTACCTAATAAAGTGGCCGGTGAGTGTATATGTCGTGCATAATGAAATATTGTGTTTACAATGCCTGTTACCTTACCAGGACACAGTTATGGTATGTTTTTTGTTTTTCAATAGAACTGTTTGGACAAGGCGAGCAAACTGTTATTTATCAAGTCATATGAAAACAGGACTGCTGTCGGAGCTACTTTAAGAATGAAATATGTCAATATGGCCTAACTTATGATAGTGGACAGAGCACCTGTATAGTATAGCACAGAATGAAGTGATGTTTTTATAACTGTAATAGTATATGAGCTGCATACAACAGTATGGAGGAATAAGGCTTAAGGAGATACACAATTGTTTGAATGGGTTGTATGCAGGACTTTGCTGTTTATTTCACTCTAATCGATAAGAATGAGGAAAATATTCATGTTTAATTGTCAAAGTCTTTTCAAAGAAAGCCAGACCAACAGACAGACCGACAGACAGACAGACAGACAGATAGATATGTTTTTCATGTTTGAGAAATACCCCACCAAATTACTAATTTAAATACATTAATATAATAATACTAATCATGCAATTTTGCAGTATTTGATTAATTTAAGGTTTTATCATAAAGCTTCTTTGCATCTACTCTACTTTTTTTTCTTCAACTTTAACGCTGCATGCAATTTTTCTCTCCCTGGTATGTGAACAAACAGTATTGATTAATAATCCTCACAGTTTTGACAAATACGCTTTACAGTCTCATTACGTTACAACAAATTGTGGTACACACTGGGAACTGTAGTAGTGTACGTTATAGATCGGATCATTACTGCTAAAATAAACTGGTGCTGTTATGCCAGCTCCTGCTCAGTTAGGACTGGCCAAGTATTGGTGCTCTCTGTCATGGTTAGTTACACAACCTCCTGCTGCTTGCTTGCTGTGACTTTCTGTCTTCAGTAAAAAAGAAGGGGTGGGAATACATATTAATAAGCAGGGATTATGCAAATATTCATAAAAAATGTACAATTAGCTTTCAAAAAATTATTCATAGTTGAAATCCTGTACTTATGTTTTTAGATTATTACCAGTGTACACCATCTTGTGGTAGTCTTCAAAATAACAATCAAAAACATGCGCTGAAGCAGGGGTCTTTAACCCCACCACAGTGGATATTCAACATGAAGTGACTCAGACATGAGCAATATTTGAATTGACAAAGTAAACAGGAGCCCTTTTCATGTACATATATATTCATCCTGTATCCAAGAGAACAATGCAGATCATAAAGGCGATTGTTTTTATGTCTTTATATTTTAATCAGTGAAATATTTTGTGGTTTTCATTTAAAAGTTTGTTTTCCTCTTGTTTTTACGAAAAGAAAGAGAGTTAATTGTCTTTTATATATTCAAATACTTTTAAAACTATTTGGAAAACTTTCTTTTTTTTACAACAGACAAAATTTGTTAAAAGTCTCAAGATACAGTATAATTGTGTTGCAATGTCATCATTAAATCTGATATCATCCAGTAAACAAGCTTTTAATAAATATATATTTGTTCAATGAGGAAAAAACACTTTGTAAACAAGTGTTTTTTTCCAATTAAACACCCAACACCTGCTTATAAAGATGGCTGGCTTTGTAGGTTTCGTGGCTCTAGATGGATTTCATTTCATTGGAGTGTGTCATTGTATTGCAGTTTGCTGACCCCTATCCTAAAGGGAGTAATGGTTAAGTAACAGGAAAAACAGAGTTTTCTGATGGATCTTTATGATTCATGTTCCATAAAGACCTCTCGCTGAGTGCACTGCAACGATTAGCATTTGCCCCAATCTTTCTGCTGGTGGGTTTTTATTTATGGCTCCTCTGAAGAAGTGTACCTGTCTCAAGTTTAGAGTGGTCCGTCCTCTCTGTCACCTTCTCCTCACTGATGAGGTAATCAACAATGCGTACGCCGATTGGTGGCTCAGTGTGGTTCCACTCCATGATTACCAATGAACTACTGGGTTCATAGGTGTAAGACAGCTTCAGCCTGGCAACAAAGGGGAAACAGAACTGCTGTGAAGTATGCTGTCAAAATAATGACCTCTTTACAGGAACTGGCAGCCACCATCATCCTTCCTGATTCACAAACCTGCAAGCTTAATAAAACACTTTATCTGCATGATCATAAATATTGCTGTTAGAGAAGAAAGTCACGATATTTATTTCCTAATTTCTGACTCACTCTAGAAGGGATGTTTGCAGCTCCTGAATGAAGCACCAAGAATTTTGTATACACAGGTTATCCTGGCAGACAATCAATATACAGCAGCTTGTTTAATTGAATAGCACGCCCACAGCAGACAGGAGGAATAAACCATTGATCGCTGTAATGTCTGGTTGCAATTAAATATTGAGTATCCAGGGAAACTGATGGCACATTGCTAGAGTCCAGGTTAGGAGGAGATTTATTTCTGTTGGAAAAATGACAGATGGCATTTCTCACACTTTTGAATGGGTTGAACTGAGGTAATGCAATGTGATTTCACTCACATGGGTTGAGGAAGCGGGGCGCAGGTGGGCAGTCCGTCTGTGCCGAATGCGCTGGAATCACATCGACACCAGTCATCAATAACGTCGCCTTTGCCTGAGCACCACAGCATGCTCATCATTGCTTCTTGGAGAGCCTGTAAGGACAGAAAGCTAATGATTGGAAGAGGGGCAAACACGTTTTTGATTTTAAAATAAACTTCTAGCACATAATAGTAATACATCAGTTTTTTTTTTATTATTTTATTCTATTTTTTTAACTTAAATAATTAATATGCAGCCTTCAAGTCTGTGGTACAAGCTTGTGGCAACAACTTAACCGTCCTTAACCCTTAGAACCCTACGGACCCACCGGTGGGTCCAGCTGCTACGTGACCTCGTAATTTTAACAAACCCCCAGTATTGATGTAAAAAACACATTTGGCACAGTTTGGTGACATTTTTGGATAAATGTGCCAAAATGGCCCCTCCGCCTAAGAAATTTCCCACTAATACCATTCTAAAATAAATATGATTCATCTGATTGAGTCCAAATTTGGTATATTTTTACACAACATTTAGATTTAAAAGTCTGTACTACTTTTTGTGCTATAAATAATATTTTGGTAGTGTTTTGCAATGTTTATTTCAAAGAAAATTTTGGCGAGGTTCAAAAAATGCAAAATATTTTGTATTTTCTCCCTAATATTTCAGGCAGGGTCAAAGCTACAATGGTGCTGACACCAGAAAACCATTCTATGACATCTTACCTTTACAGACGTACCAAAAGTTTCTTCTTAAATCTAATAGCTGTGAGGCTATAAGTGATTTACTTTTGTGTGTTTTTGTCAGGCAGAAATTTATTTATACCCCCTGAGGGTGTAAGAGGTTAAACATCAGCATTTTGTTTGTGTTTGTTATTACTCATTACTTATTAAAGGGGTGTGTTGGCCTAGTGGTTAGAGCAGAGTGCTTGTGATCTGGGAGGGTTGCAAGTACCCAGTTCAATCCCCGCAGCCTCCACTCTGGATCCCTGAGCAAAGACCCTTAACCCCACGCTGCTCCCCGGGCGACAAACAATGGCAGCCCACTGCTCCCCAAAGGAATGGGTTAAATGCAGAGAGTCAATTTCCCCATTGTGGGACATAAAGGGATTTTACTGTAAACATTAATCCATTCATAAAATATTAATATAGCTGAGCTTGGATTTAGAGATATTTATGGAAGATCAAAATAGTCATGTTACAACTAGAACCTTTAATTTAGTGCTGGGATTTTGTTTGACAGACCAACACAAGGAAAAGGAGAGAGATGTTTTCCAAAAACCGAAACATACATTTGTATTCAGTCCCTATGAGTAAACACTTTGAAGAGCTATTGCACCTTTAACAAGTGTTTATGTGCAGCTTTGCACATAAAGTGACTGAAATTTCAGCCCTTCTTTTAAACATGTAAAGCTAAGACAGAATGAATGGAGAGTTTAAGTAAAAATCCTTTAATGTCTTGACACAGATTCTAGGTTAAAAATTTAACCGGAGTCACTCCGTTAAATCTCTGGCTGTACAGTAGGTCTTTGGTTTTCCTACTGAATGGTAATAAAGACTTTTGCAGCTTCTAGAAGGTTTTTCTCCTGTCCTGGCTTTAATGTAGCATCATCGCTCTTCCAGTAGACATAAATCCCTTTTCTTGTCTAAGTGACAAATACTTTTTCAACATTATGATGCTGCCACCACCATGTACAGGATCGGTGTGTGTAATGTGTGATGTCCGCTAAAAGTCTTCTGATGGACATAGTTTTTTGAATGTAGGAAAAAAGAGTTACAATATAGTTCGATTGCTTGCTTGATTGATTAATTAGTTTCATTGATCTTACAGAGGATAAATGTATATGTTACATTGGCTCAAATAGTCAAAAAGAATAAGAAGATGCAAAAAAGGAAGAAAAGGTGCATGGGATATATATAGAATATACAGTGGAGATCAAAAAGACTGTAAAAATGCGAACAGCAAAAGAAAAATCTAAAAAAATTGCAGAGCCGCAGGGTGGGAGTAGGAGAGAAAGCAAGTGCTGAGAGACAGAAGATGTCTGTGAGTAAAAGCCTCATGCAGGTTTTTGAGCAAAGCTCCGATTGTGTTTGAGTTGAAGTGGTGCAAGATTTCAATTAAATGTGTCATCACTGTATTTTTTTTTTAATGTTTATTATTTAATTGCACAAATCTTTCAATGCGACATTATTTCAATGAATTTCATAGCTCTTCAATATAAAACACATTATTTAAAGCAGATACATTTGGTTAATTAGTCTTCTTTATTTCTTTTTGGGATTTTTTGCATGTTTTGTTCCTAAAAAAACTTTTTCAGGAAAGAGGGGGTCGTCTTATAATGAGGGTCCTCCTATATTCATTTTTGTGTCAGCTAGTCAGGGCACTTATTTTCGAATGTTTGTTTTCTCTTTCCACACATTGCTTGTAAAGCCAAGGGCTGTCTTTTCAACAGATTCTCCAACCTGAGTTGTTGATCTCACATGGCTACCTTCTCTAAAGTTTCAGTGGCCTTTTTTGGGTGCTTCGCTTTTTTCAATCCAAAAACATTTTACATAACCCTCCTCTTCATGAAGTGTCTTTTGACAGCAGAGGTCACGGATTAGCTGACCAGGGTCCAGATCTGGAACCACCTGCTGGCTAATCTGGACCCAAACAGATTTAAAACATTGCGCCGCTTCTCCTGTTTGTATGTTAAAGCCCTCTGGAGCGTCCGGGACCAGGTAACACATGATACAAATTAGCCAATGAGCTGTGTCAGACAGGATTGCTGATGCAAGCTACTTTTATAAGTGGTAGGCAAACATGTGGCAAGCCGGACGATGGAAAAGAAGGAGAAGATGATGAGAAAAAGAAAGCAGAGAAAGTGTGGACTGCTGGAAGAACTGCAGTGAACTGGTGAAATGGTGTGCTCAAAGATGACCTTGCTCATTTTGAGTTTGGCTCAACCTGCTGCCGTGAAGCAGGATTCCCCACTATGACCATAATCAGAAATAAATATCAAACCAGGCTCACAAATGAGCATCTTGATATGTGCTTGAGAATGGCTTTTTCGCCATTCAAACCCAGTTCTAAAAGCCTTTCAGAGCAGCGTAAAGCCCACTGCTCTCATTAGGCCATAAAAAGAAAGACAAAAAAAAAAAAAACTGAACAATTTTCTACTTTAAAAAACACTTTAGATTTTAAGATGGAAAAACTGTCTTTTTATATATATATATTTTTTTTTATTTAAAAAGTCAATGTATAATATAGATGCATAAACACCTCATTATCTTTCAGTGTTAAATTCTGTTTAAAGTAACAGATTATAATAAGAAATTTGTTTGGACCTTTACTGGTTGTTGATTCTCTTTATTTTTTGGACCCCGTTCATTTTTAATGGGTTATCCCTGATCTATCATAAACACCTGAAGCCTTAATAAAACAAATGCATATATTCTGAGATTAAATTGTCCATTGTTCCATTTAATTATTAGGTACTGTAAATATTAAAAGCATATTGTTGTAATATGTTAAATGTAAAGGTGTCAAGAGAAAATGCTAATGAAATGTGCTGACGAAAATTCATTAAGGATTTTAGTTATATATATTACAATGTAAAAAAGTTAGAAACCTTTTGGATGGAAGGAAAGTAAACAGGGAAGGACCGTACTGTAGTGGGACTTTATATCTTAAATATACCAGTAACAACTGTTACTGAGATGACAAAGGATTGGAGATAATTAAGCTGAGTTCTTTAGAAATAAAAAATAAACAAATAAAAAAAAAACATAAATATATTTGTATTTTAAAATATGTGAGTAGTTTTACCTTTAAGTTTTTCACACCCCCTATTTAAAATAATCTATGTGACACTGAGCAGTACAATAAATGAGAGTGTAATAAACATCAAATGATAATGCAGCTTTTGTGTTTTTTTACTTCACAGGTGTCTACACCAGTAATTTTTGAAGCTTCTATCAATATCAGCTTTGTCCGTCCGACTGAGCTGGGCGATAAAGGCTCTGAGACGTGTACAGCACCATATCGACCATTTCTTCATCCTCCAGGAGCAGAGGCTTTATTGATGTACAATATTGATAGAATCAAATAAGTCACAGAGCAGCGCGGCAGCTCATGGCACAGCATGCTTTCAACAGAACACGTGAAACTGAAAGAGAAATACTTCCTGGGAAGTTCTTTTATGTTACATAATGGGTTCCTAAAATTTTGGATGTCCCACATAGTGTTATGAACATTGTTAAGGCTTCAGGGGAACCAACGACATAATAATCACAAAGCAATTTTCGTGCCTAAATTATTAACTGCTGTCTTTAAGCATCAAGTTCCAGCTCAAAATTGCAGAGAAGCTTTTGCAAAAAAAAAAAGAAAAATATAGCAATTTGATCAAAAGTAGGAGTCTGTAAGAGTGGTTATAAAAGACTCAGGAAACACAAATCAATTTCCTTTGGAACAAAAGCACCAATTTTAGCTTAATGGAAAAATAATAGTTGTACAAACCAGTTTTTTTTTTTGCTTTTGAACAGTAGATGTAGACTTCCAAGACACCGAAGAAAATCTGAACAGAAATAGCACCCACCTGATAGGTCTCATTGTTGGACACTAGTTCATAGATTGGTGCAGCCTTGGTAATCTTCAGGAGGACCGGTTCAGACTGCTGCCGTCCCTGTGCCGCCCTTGGACTCATATGGCAGAGGTGACAGGAGCGTGGGCACTGGCCTTGGCTGGTGCAGTCCATTCTGACGCCGGCCACCATGCGCTTAGCTCCTGTGTCCAAAAGGCTGGCAATGTATGCTGGGTAAGTCAACGTCCTGGGCTCCTTGTCCCGCTCCTCTGACTCTTCTGAAGGGGAATTACCTGAATGTACAGAAAACAAGGTAACAGATTGAGGACAATTTCCAAGCTGTGGACTTCTTTCATGGCAACACACATAAATAATAAATAGGTTTATAAAAGTTTATAAAGATTAGATCTACTATTTTCTTCTAATGAGAAAAAGAAGCTGTGGGGAAAAGAAAGAGCTGAACTGGGAAATTGTTTCTCCACAGCACTGTGGAAAGACTACAAAGCATTTATATGTTCCCAAATTCCCATATCTTTCTTTTGGAGTGTTTTATCCTTTTTGCATCATAGGCAGAATATATGAGCAGGGGTGTAAATAATTGGAGCTCAGCGCTGTCTCTGTGTAGAAAAATGAAATGTTTACACTGCGCTGATGTGACTGCTATATTGATTTGGTTTCTTTTTCTTATCTCAAGCTCTTTGTTTGAAGTTTGACAAAACCACATGTACAATTACATCAGAAAAATATCAAATTAAAGAGAGCAAAGTAAAAACAATGGCCCTACCTCTCAATATAAAATACATTTAAAAAATCTAACTTATCTGGATGAAAATCAGACTAACAGGGAGATTGTTCGTTAACTTTAGTCTATTTAGAAACTTTAGTCTAGTTCCTCTTAGCATACATTTCTATTGCAATAGCAGTTCTTAAAAGAAAAAGATGACAACTGACTCATTGGAGCAGGCGAATGTAGGCTCTGTGATAGGGTTTTGTGACATGGAGCTAGATCTGCGAGGAAGCAGGGTCAAATATACTGTAATTTAGTTATGCCAGAAATTGTTGATACTTACAGTATAAACAAAAATAAAACTCTTTGAGGGACACATATCCAACCTTATGTGTATAAAAATAAGCTAGATTTGAGCAAGCATTTCAAATTTTGGAGTCTTGTGGAGTGATATAAAATAAACATTCGATAATAGAAGTATGGCCAGTGAATAATTATTGAAAGACTTATATAAGTTTTATATATATTATAAGTACTCATTTAAATATTTGAACTTTTTAAACTTATTTCAGAGAAAATAATAAAATAAATAAAGCTTAATTCAGTTATCAAGGGTCTTAGCAATTTGAGCACATTTTGGCTTTTGTTTATCAAAATGAATCACCTAAATGGGTGACATAAACTTACAATGCTTACATCTCTGTTTTAAAATGAAAAAGAAGGGGGAAAAAAAACACAAAAAAGAAAAAAATACTACTGGATGGGTTGGAACAAATCATACCAAACAACCCAGAACAGTGCTTAAACATACTCAGTGGTCTTATGTGGTTTCTGCTGCCTCCAAAGTTATTAGGTAAGAAAGCTTTAAGAGGAAACTTAGGTAAGCATATCCAAACTTAAGAACAAGGACCAAGAGCAAAGCCAACCTTGACAAAACTGAACAGTCTGCGTGAAATCAGCCAAAGACACAGGAAATGAAAATGAAGGCGAAAACAGTCAGCCACAGCAGAAGGCTGCTGATACAAAAATGAACTAACAATCACAACCAGCTGTGTACCAGTAAAGGGAAACAAATCTTTCAGGGGAGCGGCAAAAGAACATAACATCCTACAAATATATAAAAACCTAAGAAAATATTAGCTCTGAGAGATGTACAATAACTAGGGAAGGAAAAAGTCTCCATTGACATTACCATTTGCTTCAAATCAGAACATTTGAGTACATTCATTTTTTTTTTAGAAAACATACATTGTTCTGCTTTAACATTTGTGAAACAAACAATTGTTTCAGTCAAGAACAAAGCAAAAAAGGTCTGATTAAAATTAAACAAGCAACCAAAAAATATACATTTTTAAAAATGAAACCTTTTCTTTGTGTCTATAGCCCAGCGGTTACCAAAGTGCCGAGGAGTTGGGAGGAGGCTCAGGGGCCCAGGTTCAATGACCGCACAGGGACATTACTCAATACCTTAATATTTATTACCCACCCCAGTGAGGGTGGTAAATATGTTATTTAAGCAAATAACATTGGGACTGTCATATATTGTTCTGTAAGAACACACAAAAACTGGCTCTGAGTTAGGACAACAAATGAAAGTGTGAATAGAGCTCAAATCATGGTCCAAGAGTTAACTATACAAACATACGTAATAAATAAATAAAAACTCTTCATTCTAAGTATGAGATTTTATGAGCAAAAAATCCTTAAATTCCCAGTTAAACATATTCCAGTTGGAAACTCTCAACTACACTAGATACTAAGTACACAAACAAAAAGGGATAAAAAATGGTTGAAAACCAATATCAGTCAACTGATGCAATTAAATCAGTTCAGCATGAATTTTATGCTTGAGAAGCAAACATGAGGTTAAATTAGCTTTAAACTAATTTAGAACAATTGGAATGTGTTCAAACCAATTCACAATGTAAATCCAAAGAGGTAAATACAGCATTGTTTTTTTTTTTTATTAAATTTTATGAAGTGATTAAACACAAAAAACAACCAAAAAAAGGAAAAAGCAAGCCTTCTTTGATTGTTCCTCAGGGAATAGTTAAAAGGTATGGGCCACCAAGCTTCTTCATTTTGACAACAAAATGCAATGAGCATATCAGGAAGCATATAAATGTTTATATTTTATGGGTTTTTAAGCCCTTAGTAAAATAAATGTAGTTTTAGCTTTATAAACAACAGCTCAAGACATGTCAGCATGGGGTATAAGGCTTTCACAATTAGCCTCTTGTTAATTTTCTTCACACTACACTAAACATTAAATTATGGAAAAAAAATATCAAAAGCCATAACTGTTTGGCTTTTAAACCTTTCACCCACTTTGCCAGGCTTGTAACCTTTGTTGATCTCTGCTATGGAAAGGTGAGGCATCTCCAAAGATCAGGAAAGCTTAGCGTGTGGGGCTTGCATATCCTCTGTGGTAGTGTCTTGTGAGAGGGGCGTTTGCAGTAGTTGGAGAGGACAGTAAAACAGAGCAAAACTGTATGTTTCTTCATCAATGTCCAAAAGTAATGAGCCTGGACAATAATCCTCAATGTTCAAAATGAACATATTGGCCTATCTGACACCATTTCTTTTTAAAGCTCAGTGAGGCCATCTCACCGCTCTTTTGCCCGGGGCTCCTTGGTCTGGTAAGAAGAAGAACGCATCTTCAGGTGAATCCCTATCCTTAGGAATGTCTGTGTTCGTTGACCAATCCAATATCCTGTCTATGATTCAGAGAGAACTGAAGCATTGACTTTGTTGTGATTCTGCTGCTTTGAAGCAGATTAGAAAAGCTGCAGAGTTTTTTGCCAATGGCTAACTGTATCACCTGCTGCTGCCTCTGAGACCGGCCGACCGCCTGCCGAGAGGAACTGCAGCTATAGAGCTTGCATCAGCTACTGCTTGCACCTTTAGTGTAGACGACCCAGAACTCCTGTAAGTTACCGAACAAATTAAAGTGCTGCCTGCCATAGACTGGCGACCTTTCCAGGGTGTAACCTGCGTTTTGTCCGTAGACAGCTGGAGATGGTACCAGTATCCCTCGCAACCCAACTTAGGATAAGCGTGACGGAAAATTGATGGATGGATGGATGGATGGATGGATTAAAGCCCTGCAAATTTCCTGTCGTTGTTGTATCCAACTGAAACTGAAAGAAAGGTGCCATTGGTCTGAGGACTAAAACCCTGGGCTCGATTGGACCGACCTATGTTCTTCACATCCACCAAATTAACACATAGTAAAAGCTTTTGTTTTCCTTTTTATCTGATGTTTATTAATTCATTGATATACTCAACCTTATTATTGGACATTCTTTAGAGACTGAATGAACGTTTAAAACCCCCAGCTCCCCCTTGTGCTGATTCTTAGTAGTCTGTCATATTAGATACACTGTAATAGGGATTATTCAGATAATAATCAATATTTAAACTTCTAGTACTGTGTGGTTATTTTTCCGGTACCTGTTCTACCTGGGGTACAAATACTAGAATCTTGGCGAGTAAGCACATTTCAGTTATAATCCTTCAACTTATATTAATAAATTGGTTTTACCCTTTATTTGAATTACCTATTAATGAACCACAACTTCCAGTTTTAGTTACTTATTATATTTATAATTTGCTGGTAAAAGTGTACAACAGGCATTACACTTTGTTGAAATGTATGTAATAAATGACTTCTTTTCCGTATTTTTTATTGTATTGTATGCAATGTGGAATTTTGTTAAAAAGTAACATTTGCACACAAATTGGTGAGAACAAAGGTATTCAACATTTGCATACAAAGATTCAAGTATCTGAACGTTTCCAAGGGTTTCTGCACCCTTACACCTCTGTCCAGCCCAACTTTAATTTATCCCTGTCAAACTGGCCCACTTCCTACTAATCAGCTCTCATCATTCTATCTTCACTTGCCACCATTTGGCAGATGGATATTAAATGTGGCAGTTATATTAGGGCAGGAAAGCACTTTGCAGGGCAAAGAAAATTGCCAATGATTAGTGCAGTTTAGTTTTGGTTTGATTCAGTAGTCCTAACTGTCAGCTCAGGCTGCTAGCAGATATTGAAATGGATGAGCAACCATGCATGGTGACGCCTGATGACCCAACACATATGGCACAACATTAAGTTTTTCCCACTTTTGAGCAACTTTAGGAGTCCAGATTACCAAGCTTACTCTAGTAGACATGTAGAGTACCTTTTAAAGGCCTTGCTACACCTTCCATCATTATGGCACAATATGAATTCACATCACAGCCATGAAAAACAATTTTTGATGGGATTTTATATAAAAGAAAAATGCAAAGCGATGCACAAGTGTGACTCAAAATAGAATTTAACTCCAATATTTTTAGATGTCCCCATAAATGCTGATCTGCTTTACTGCCCCTGCTGAGAGGGGGATCACAACAGTGTGATGCTACCACCAGTCAAAGATATGACAGGGTAAATTCTATGTATATATATATGGTTTTTGGTATCGACTGGGCCTCTCAAGGTGTAAAAATATTGCTTTTGTTGGAAGAGTATTTTTCAGTAAAATTCAAAGATTACTTCAATACTAAATTTGACACA